ACTTATGTGTTTATTGAAAATTGAAATCATTTTTAATATGTTTTGTAGATGACATTAACATAAATGCATTAATTACGTGGCATTTCCCGTTTCTTGCTCCATTTACAACTACTATTACTTATTATAATTCACTTTTTGTTGCATAAATTCGTAAGAGCTGTGCTTGAATGTTAGCATCTAAGATCATCTGAATGCCAACAGTAACAACTTTCTTACAACATTTAAAGGAGCAGAGCAGAGAGGCTAATTGTTGGTCATTACATGTAATGCTGAGAGTAGAAGAAAACATGTAGTAAAAGCATCTGAAATATTGCCATTGATAAGTAACTCCGACAAAGCAAATATACGTGGAGAGTCACGTGAAAAACTCCCTGAAAGGGCTGTATTGCGTGGTGGAAAAAAAATGTGGTTGCTACTTTTTATTGAGAGCATTTTTTGGTAAATCTTTGGTCGTCTATGCTTATCACTCTCTTGAATTATTATTTTTCTTCTAGTCAATCTTCCTTTAATTTGATCTTTTCTATTTACTTGCCTTATCTCTTCCGTGATGTCTTCAATGAAAAAAACGAAAAATCAGACACTCTTTCAACTTTATATATAAATATATACGTATATAATTAATGCACGTTCAGATGCATTGCACCTTACGCCAGTTACGAAAAGTTGTCAGAAATATGTTGAAGAAATAAGCTGTAGTGAATCAATTCGCATTTGAATGATCGCGTGAATTTTTACGTGAAGTAGCGTCAAAATGAAGCTGAAATGAAAATAAACACCAGTGCTGCACTTACATCAATTTTCATGAAAAAAACATCTCAGTCGCGATCGCTTACTGATATATTCATTTCGCATTCATTTCGCATGTTCGTATCAAACAAAAGTAAGTACGTCAAACAAATAAGATTACATGCTATCTGACAGCGGGAAATTGGCTTAATATCGCTTGAATGAATTTTTCACCTGTTTGCGAAGAATCTAGCAGAATAACCAATAGAAGGTTTAGGATAAAATGATCATTCCTCCTTAACTTATCTTGAAAACTGGACATAAATTACTTTGACTGAATAAATAACAACGTAATGCAGTGCTTGCAGCCAGTTTAATCCGCTGTTTTCATTTTTAAGACTTTTTGCTATTAAAGATAAGTAGTAATATTATTTTGCTAGTTATTCGTGTACAAGTACTACTTTTATTGTAATTTACCATAGAATCGCTATAAAAGATGAAAACTAAGGATCTAAACTGCTATATACAAACATAAATTGCTATGTATAAACATTATAACAAACGATTGAATGAAGCTGAAAAGTAAACACACGTATTTATTTAGCTTATTTTATACGTCTGAATTGAACTTTGTAGTATTTATTACCGCAACCTTTGACTTTTCTTAACTTAACATAAACAGGCTTAATGAATTTGCTAAGAACAAATTTTACAATTAATTTACAAATTTACTTATAATATCAAATAATTTTTCGTCAATCTATAACTTATTTCTCAAAGAAAAAAAAGAAAAATTGGATTCAGAATATGAGATTAGAATGACTTTGGCAAGAGGTGGCAGTGTGCAGAAAATGTAAATTACAAATTGAGGTCAATAAGCTCTCCTTGAAAAAATGGCCTTTTTGATTTTGCAGTGAAAGATTGAAAAATTGATGGGTATTTTCCGATAGTTTAGAAGAATAGTTTTGCAAAAATGTCATTCAAATTTTGCCCTTCTTTACTGCTACAAATTTTATCAAAACTGCATAATTTCTTCTGCAAATTAATTAATACAAATCATGTGCATTCTTGCATTTATACAGATATACTACAGTAAGCGACAGATAATTGTAGTCATAAGACTTTTATAAATGCTAAAAAATTTAACAAAATTTGTTTTTAAATGAAAACTTAAATAAAATTTATAAGCTATCTAATAAGAATTCATTTCAAATATTTTAAATAATGTTGAATAAAAAGAAAATGCATAATGACGAGATTTAAAAGCAATTTTCAAGACATAGCAATACATGAATCATTTTCAATTTTATGTTGTTTTTTTTTTAAATCCAACGTTGCCAATCACGTTTATATATTATTGTGCAGTGTGATGAATTTAAAATTTAAAATAAAAATAAAAAGTTTTGTTTTGTTTTTGTGGTTTTTTACAGTACAGAAAGTGACAAATCACAATATGACAGTCTGAAGAACGATTTTTTCATATTAAAATGTCGATGAAATGATAGGTAAAAACGTTTGCTTCCATAAAGTGTAAGCTTTTATTCTACAAACCACAACAAATACATTTATCTTTCTTTTCACGTCGATAAAAAATATTGCGATTACTTCAGTCATTTTTTACGCATATCGACAAAGGCAAATAAACGTTAATGTTATTTCAAAAAATATCCATGTAGCTTATTTGTTTTGTACAAAGTACAAAATATTTGTACAGTTCCTTACTACTGTATAGCATTAATATTTATATATATACATATAGTTCTATCATACTATGTAGTATAGTAATATAAAATAATCACTATAACTAATTAATTAATTAGATAAAGCATTGTAATTAGCTATAGCTATTTTTTGCATAATAGTATTTAAAGGTCAAAAAAATGTAAAGTATTCGAATGACCATTACTAGCGTTTGCAAAAAACAAACTTTGGTCAGTAACAAAAATAATCCATTAAAGAAAGCTATTAATAAATCATACAAAGTAATATAGTAATCTTTTATTAATTATTTATTAAAAAACATATTTTATTTCAGAAATAAAAACTTTGAAAAATTATAAATGAAGCTTACAGATAAAAATTTGCTTACAATAAACAATCAACAAAAAGTGTAAAAGCTTTTATAAAAGTTAGTCTTAGATTGTGCTTTTTGGTCGTTGCTTTTGCTTGCAAGCACAAAAGTGATAAAATTTTAGCGCAAACTTTTGTATGCAATAAAAATTGAAATATAAATGTCTAAAAATTATTTACCGCTTTTCAAGTCTAAATCTATTCTCATATAAATAAATCCGTTTCGTGCGTGTTGCATCTTTTGATTACAATTTTATTTATTTGCATTCTGCTAACTTACAATTTTACTATACTTTTCTATTTATACAAAAATTTATTTCTTGAATTAAAAGTAAACTTCACAGACAGTTTACAGATCGAATAATTTCAAGAAGTCAAGAATCTTCAGTTAGAAATCTTGCATTTTTTATATTTGTACTGAATTTGCTTCAAAATTCTATCCAACGAATAATTCTGTTTAAAATTATCAGAATTATTCTTCGTTTTATTCTGATATATACTTATTTCATATTTGTTAACGGACTTACTGAAGTTATGTCATTTCTGGCAGCAATGAATGCTTGTCTACCTCTTCAAAATTTAAAAACGAAGATGAATAAGGTCAAATAACTTCAAAATTCTTCTCCACATAAAATAAGAAATAATTTAAAGTTTATAAAATAAGAAAGCAATAATCATTTACTATATTTCAAATAAATGCTTTCAAATTAATTTTAGAACAAATCACAAAAACGTATAATCTGATCTGTAAATAACCGTTATTATTACTTGCTGTTATTTATAAATGACAGTAAGAGAGTTGTCTGATGCAATTACCAAGTGGTAAAATGGCTGGATGGCTGGATGGATGGCTGGATGCATGGATGGATGCATGGATGGCTGAATGGATGGCTGGATGGATAGCTGGATGGATGGATGGCTGGATGGATGGATGGATGGCTGGATGGATGGATGGATAGATGGATATATACATACAAATGTGTTTTTCTTCATTTCAAATTATACTTTGATGGGAATATTTCACAGTTCGAATTGACGACAAATTTTTTTGATAATTTAATTTGTACTACAAAACCTGTAATACATAATAATACCTTTAACATCATTTCTATTTTGCTTCAATTTATCATTTATTCAAAAGTTAATTTTTTATTTTCCGATCTAAAGTTCTATTATTTAATGTATGAAACAGTAATCAAAAGTTTTTTCTTTATCAGTCAGTGATAATTATCAGTGATAGTTATCAGAAATCAGCACTTTCCACAAGTATTTTTTGAAGTCATACACTGAGAATAATTTGTTTTTTAAAACAAAACTAATTTTAGTTCACTTTCGTAAAAGTAATATCATGAAGCAAAGCTTCTAAAGCACTGAAATCGTATATTTGAACTAGCTAACTTTCTTATAAGTTCCAAATTTTGTGTTTATTTTTCTACAATTCTCAGACACTTCAAGTAAAAATGAAATATTGCTTTTTTTTCTTGAAAAAAGAAATGAATAAAATTTATTGATAACAAAACTGAATATGATAGTTAACCAGTTATAGTGAAAGCAGAGCACAGAGCATAATATCAGCATGAAAAGGTTCATTGCAATTCGCTATAATTTCTATTAATTACAAATTACTGAAATTAAAACTTGAATAATTTTAAAATTAATACATGAAAGAATAATTATTACAGCATGCTTTAAGAAGACATCCTCTAAAATAAATTTCGAAGTTGAATAAATATTATTAAAATATTATCAATAAAAGCATAAAATTGTAAACTCTTCATTTATCTTTCAACTATTTTAAATGCACGAAAAAGATCACAAAAAATTAGCATAAGTTGAATTAACAAGAGCATTAATACACAAAAGAAAGCATTGTGAATACTGTAAAATTATGAGAAAAAAATTTGTCAACAAAAATTTTAAACGATAAAATAACGATAATAATAGAAGTAAATGAATGAGAATGACCCCGTATTGCATGCATTTACAACCATAAATATTAATTATTAACTGTTTTATTTAGCAAACAGTTACGAATAATCTCTTTTTTTCCATATATTTTTTAGACTGAAAAATGAGCATAAAACTGTAGTCAAATAACTGCAAGCATAAAGCTGAACGTTATATTTCTAATAACAAAAGTTGAAGGCATTACTTTTATGACTTATTTACAGTGAACAATTTTATGTCCAAATTAATATCACGAATTATACAAATTGCGCATCAGTAGTCTGCTCATTTTCTCCTAATAATTTGCTATATCCTGCAATAACTGGTACATGTTGCAATTTAATACGATGTCGATATGTATGAAAAGTAAAAAGAGCTATGCAAAGTAAAACAGTAAGTAAAGTTAAATACAATAATCGATTATTACTTTCACATTCAAAATCTGAAATTTCAAAAATGTTTTGGCCTTTTTTTGATTCTGGCGCAGCACAAATCGCATAGCCCTGAATAAATAATAAGTTATACTTAAACACTTCAAAATTGTATTAATAATAATACTGTGAGTATGTCTGAATGAAATTTGCTATGAAAATAATTCAAATTGTAATAGTAATGTGTTCATCTGAAATTAACATTACAAAGTTAATTTCAAAAAAAGTTTTACCTGATTTAAAGAGGAAGAAGGACTTTTCGATAGTTCTTTAATAACAGGCATAATCATGCAGTCACAGTTCAACGGATTCGATGAAATGTCGAGAGTTGTTAAGCTTGGCAAATTCTCCCAAACTTTGATTGATAAAGTTGAAATTTTATTTTCTGACAAATCCAGCAGATTCAAATTGAGTAAGCAACCCGATTTAACAGTGAATGTCTTCAACTTATTGCCAGATAAATGTAATCGAATTAAGCCATTCAGCTAAACTCAACTATTGCTGATTAAATTTTAAATTCGTTATCAAATTTTTATCAAGTATAGATTAGTAGCAGCATTTATCTATCAGTATAATTAGTAGTCAAATAAAAATCTTTTCATATTGCAGTTTATATAACGAATATTTATTTATGTTTGTGAATAATTTTGCAACTTTTAGATTTGTACGCAAATGTAGATCAAAAAATGGCACTAAAGTTTGCACTGAAACAGTTTTTGGATTCAGTTGAAAGGTCTTGCAAATATTTCTGCTATGCACAATAATAGACTGATTACCTTGCAGAATGTTTCAGGTAAAATATGTTCAAGTTCATTATTACGCACTATTAACTCTTGTAAATCATTAAATTCATTCACTGAATCAGCGAATGCATTAGCCAGCAAATGAGGTCGTTCGTCACGTGACACTGACGATGCAAATAAATTTGATATGTCCAAAATTCTCAAGCGTACATTCCATCTAAATATCTAACATCAATAATTGTTGTTAGGAAATTACTTACTTATGGTATATCAGATTTAAATTATAATACATAACTTCTCACGTAACGTGAACTATTGTAGTACAGTACACATAACTGTACTGAAAACTTTTACTAGTAATTTTGCTAAAATTATTTTGTTTATATATTGCATAACTACTTTTTTCTTAATTCTAATTTATTATTCTTCGTTCTTTTTCCGACACTTTCATCTTGTTGCAGTAATAAATGCAAAAGTGAAACCATCAAAACTTTTTTGCATTACTCGAAAAAAGTCAACAAAAAAAATTGTTAATATATTATCAAATTCGTACAATGCTATGATTATGTCTTTAGAAACGTGTACTCGCAACAAGCGAGATGACGTGTTTCTCCAAGTACACGCAAAAAATGCAAAATATGTAAGATTTAGTTTCAAAATCGCGAGACAACGATGTTATTTCGGAATAAATAGCAACAATTATTCTTCATTAACGCACTTATTTCAGGATTCAGTCTACAATGTCATTCTTTCTAATTTGTGCTTAAAAGTGGTAAAGATTTTGAATACTGAATTTAGAGGCAGTTTATGCATTTGTAAGTTTTTAAAGAATTTTTTAGAGTGCAATGAATTGTATTTTTATAAAGGTGACCTCATGACCTTACGATAAATCACTAAAACGAATTGCTTTTTTATTCTATTCTATTGCATTAAATTTGCAAATTCCAAGGGAAAAAATTTATATCAGTACCAATTTAAACAGATATTGAATACTCAAAATGATTATTCGTCTTGGTATCAATGAAAACAACCAATAATGAATGATGATATTAGTAAGGAAAATAATGATATTGCTAATACTGATAATAATAGTGGTAATAGCTAAGGCAAAAGAAGCATAGAACAAACTTTACAATAATTGCGACACTTTTTTAGTTGTGAAAAACGTTTGCTAGAGAAAACAAATATTATTTAGATAAAAACTTTAAATGTTTGCAAAAATCTGAATCATACTAAAGTAAGTAACAGTATACTTTACTTTATTTTACAAGAATTTATTTAGAGCAAAGTAAAAGCGCTGATTCATAATGAAATAAACCGAGAAACAAGAATTTACCGTGATGCATTCTGAAAACTTTCAGATTACACTTTGCACAAGTAATATCTATGGTTGAAAAATACATAAAAGTTAGTTACTTTCAAATAATAACTAAAATTTCCAAATAATATTGGCAATATAATTATTACTGTATTCATTATTTATAGTAAATAGAATAGAAGAAA